TCAATAATTAATTACCCTCTTAATGATAAAACATTTGAATTTTCAGCAATGTGAACAATTTCTTTAATAATATTTTCTTCGTCAAGAAATGTTAATCCATTCTTTGATGATCCAATATTTCCCTTTTTTAAAATAATAATAATAATAATAATAATATAATTATTTAATAAATTGGAAAAATTGAGTTCAATAAATCATTATTGTGATTTTTAATCTCCCTTCGTTTATTCATTCACTTCACTGCCCATTGCCCACAAACCTCCAACACGTTGATTTGTTAAATACTTACAACAGCCCAAAGAACTGATTTTAGTTTTTTAATTTGTATCTTCCATTCCATGATTTTTAATATAATTAGAAAATTCTGTAAAATGGCCTTTATCTCTTAGCATCTGACAGCCTTCAATTGTTTTAATTAGTTCCCCATAGAAATGAGGGGGGGTCAATCCATCAAGAGATTTACTAATTAATCAATTAATAGATAAATTATATAAATAATTATAATTATAATACAAAGTACATAATAAGTATATAATTACACATTGTTTTCATTCTTATCCAGTTTTAAAGATAACTTTAATTCCAACTGTATAACATAATAATGATTTTTCACCTGATTGAATATAGAAATCAAATCGTAATAATTAAATAAATTAGATTATTGATTCACAACTTCCAAGCCTCAATATAAATATAAATGTAAATATTACATTGAACCAATCAATCAATTCTCTCTCTAAATAATTAATTTCATAAAGATAATTGAATCCAATTGGAGTTGACAAGAATTTTAATAACAAGTTATTTCCAAATTCTCCTAAATGGTCTAAATATGGTCTATATTTAATCATCAGTTCTATGTTATCAATATTTCTATCGCATAATTCTTCTAGTATTTTTATGGCCATTTGACAAACTTCTGAAAAAAATTTAGAACATGTTATTATGTTTTAGGATTAATATCAAAAACTTTAAAAGGCGTTGAGATATTAAAAGATTTAGGATGGGAAAGTAATTACGATCCCGATTTAGATTTATTTACTGGATTATGCCTACCAATTGATTACAAAAAATTCCTTACCGTAAGTTTATTAATTAATTAATTTACATTTGGAGGAAAATAATTTAAAATAATTTATCTGATTAAAGGTTCCAAAATGGGAATATAAAGGAGCTGATGT